GTGTATTGAAACCAACTAAAAATCTTGTAGTATTTCAATTATTTAGTCGCAAATTTGGTACAGTTAAAAATTGTTATAAGTAGATGATGTAATTTTAATGTTCTGGCAAAATTTGAGATAACACAAAAATGTTAATTTAATATAATCTCTATTTTGTTTAGTGAATTCTTGTTAGCTTTACCTTTTTCTTTCATTTCTCGTGAGCTACAAGTTAACATCTACCTATCTTTAAAACTATAAAAAAAGTCACATTTATAATCACGCAAAACCCTGAACAAGGCTGAACTACATCAGTAGCTTAACTGTTATGGTTCATCAAGTTGACTAGAACTTATAAATCACACTCTGTAATGAACACATAAGCCTGCATGTATAAGCGTAACAATAAATAGATTTGTTTTACAGGCTTTATATTGAGTACACTCGTGCGCTCAGTACAGATAATGGTTAGTAAACTCTTATCAATATTGAAGAGCGGATAACATAAATTTGAAAAAGGCAGCTGAAAGATATTGAGGTAGATAGGTACTTCATTTAGGTCGTATTATAGCTCCGCAATGGGATATCGGCAACATTCTGGGAAACATCCCTGAGGATGATTCGGAGACATGTCATTACAATTTTGCGTGACCCCTTCCTTAATTTAGTCATAGATCTGAAGGGGAAGGAAATTTTTTTGCAGATCTTTGTTCCCACTGTGCTGCTCAACTCCCAACAACAGGACTTTCGATTTCACAGATTTTACGAGTACGTCTATAGCAGTGGTTACCAACTGGCGGCCCCCGGGCAGCATCCTGCCCGCGAAGCTTTTTCTTTTGTGGCCCGCGAACTTAAATATATTAGTTGTCATTCTTGCGGACAATTTTCGTAAAAAAAACTATATGTGTGTGACATTAGGTCACAGCCTAATTTTCTAAATATCCTGTTTTTTAATCAAAATACTAATTCTTTTGACTTAATCTATAATTTTGTAATACATTTTTTTATTTCATCATCTTTCTTTAGCCCCTTAACGCGTTAGCGCAATTTGGACATTCTCCCCCTAAAATTCCTCACCNTTCTTGTTTCTCTTTTAGATATGGGTTATTCGGACACTATGCGTAATTGTATTAATTGTCTTTTTATAATTCGGCCATATTTCTTCTAAGTTCAATTGTTATTTTTATATATGCTACTTTTTCATTTTTTATACCCAACCGTAACAGGGCAATGTGTTTAAAATACTTTTCTTTCGTTAGAAAAACAAACAAACTAATTTCTTCGTTTCGGTGAAATTTAACATAGCAACGGAGGAGAAAAATTTATTTCTCAGGTTTCGCATCCAAGAAAATATTTATTAAAATACAAAAATAATCGTGTATGTTGCTTAAAAATCTACTTCTAGTTTTAATTTGTAATTTAATACGTTTGTTTTGTACAGCTTGATAAAAATCTGACAGTAATATTTAATGTTCCTTCAAACATAAAAGAGTCCTATATAAAATTTTGATAAAGTTGCTGCCCGCCATTTGACTGGTGTTTTTAATTGCGGCCCCCGGCCTCATGTAAGTTGGAAACCCCTGGTCTATAGCATATACTCAATGGGTCTTAGCAGAGTCGAGGATCGAACACCATTCCCTCCAGACCAAAATATTAAAGGAATGTGGCATAAAAAAAGAAAAGATGGCTTATAATTAAAAAATGTGACTTAGTTTCGTCTTTTAAAAAAATTGTACATTTAAAAAAAAAAATAAATAAAACTGTTTTATCCAACTTAGAAAGGAATAAAATTCAACTTACAAAGCAAATTTGGAAAGCAAACGAATGCTGAGTTCATACGCTAATTCATCATTATAATTTTTATTCTTTGTTTGATTTGAGCTCTCTGAAAAATAGTAGGCTACTGCTGTTCTAGCTATATTGCCACCCCACTTTTGAATATGGCTTGCATTATTTCTTCCATTTAAAATCCAATTCGTTGCATAGAATTTCGCTCTGAGTATTTGATCGGGATGAACACCCGATTCAAAACGATCTTCTGTAATTAAAAATAAAATGTATTAAATAATAAAGTATACTAACACACTCAGATGTCCATAAATCAATGAACTACTGAACGAAATGTGTCTGAATAATGTGAAATGTGATACGAAATGTGTTATTAAGATTATTAGATAGAGAATTACATATTTTTCCAAGTGTAAACGCATTCCAGAGGAAATTTAATCTATAAATAGATTGTCCTTCTAAAACTGCTTAAAATATTTACATAAAATTCGAGTATCGATTTTATGTAGATATTATCGAGTACCGTTATAAGATTAAGAGCAAGGTCACTCCAACTGCGAAAATTGAGCAAATTTTCGGAGTTCCTTTTTTTTTTTTNAAGACATTTTAATAAATTAGTTTTCTGTTAAAGAACTTTTCTTTCACAACTTGTGTATTGCAAAAAAATAGTTCCTTAGAGCGATATTAAACAAAATGCCAATGCATAGCTTTTCTTCCATAAAACCTTTCTTTTATAATGGTGTACGACCGAACCAACAGTTGATTAATGGAAAACTTTCATCGATTATATGTATACAAGTTGATGTACTAGTTTTTTGCAGAAAGGCAACTAAAAAAAAATCAAACTTCCTCAAAAAATGATGAAAAAACTGTCTAAAAAATGCAGGAAAATAAATTTTTGCGTTCTTTACAGTAGAAAATAAAATTTTCGATATATAGTTTAAATTTACTCCATCTCTGAAGATTTGCTCGTGCAACAATTTCAAGAGATTTAATAAATTTAACTTTGGGAAAAACGCTCTTTTATATTTTCTGGTCACGAGTTTTGCAACATTTTTATTTCTTTTCTGTTTTCTTTATTTACGTTGTATTTAATCACTTTCTATAATGCTTTTGGAATAATAATTTTTTTTAAAGTTTACCAGTGTTCTACGAGTCGATTCAGTTCATAAAATATATTATCTCGCAGAGAAGAGGAGTTATGAAAGCTCTATGTCATTTATCTCTCTATATATAATAAATGGAAACCTCATTTTAAGCTCTAAAAATGTTCTAAAACAATTTTCAAAATTTAATTTTATTGAAAGTTTGCACTATTATCAAGTAGGTAGGTACCTTAATAACATCGCACTAGAGCTGTACAATGGGCTATTGGCGACGATCTGGGAAACATCCCTGCTGATGATCCGAAGACACGCCATCGCAATTAATTTTGATCCTCTGCAGAGAGGATGTCTCCCCTGCCTTGGTAGCCTGATGACCTACGTGCGAAGTCGAGCACTTTACGGTAGAACAGTTTAACGAGGACCGATACCGCACACTCTCGGTCCCTACGCAGGCTGATCAAAGTGGTCACCCACACACTGACCGCAGTCAGTGATGCTTGACTTCACTGTTCTACTGGGAACTGTGTCTTGACGAGCAGTTCACCGCGGGACCTATTATCAAGTATGATTTCTTGTGTGGAATTGCGGCGTTACAGATTACGTGAAAGATCAATAGTATATTTTACTCTTCTGTTAGTTGGCTGTTGTATTAGTTGAACAAAAAGGTATCTCCGAAGCACATTCCAAAACGTAACATACCGTTGAAAAACGATGAGTTTTTGCTGCTCTGGCGCAGATGTGAACCATTATGATTAAATGAAACGTGACTCATCGGCTATAATATAGAGATGATTCTAGATGAAAGATGCAAAAACTAGAAAGATGAAAGATGAAAAACAACCTAGATTGGTCTTTACAGATCGTCTCCAGTCTAACTGCACGTCATTACCAAAACACACATAGCAGAAATGACTATAGCAAAACTACAAGAATTAAAATTGGAACTTCTTCCTTATCCTCCATACTCAATTTTATTTGTCAGGGTTTTATCTCACTTGTCTGAAATAGCCTGCCTCTTACAAGGCAAAAGTATAGAGAAAATATGAAATGATGAATGAAATTGTTTAATATATCTGTAAGTTATCACAGAATTTTCACCTTTTTTTCGATAGTTTTCATTCTTGATGACCTATAGTTTGTCTACGGTAAGAACTCCCCGCGCCACAAAGTCTGAGGCTGACTTCTGCCATGGAAACAGGAATAGTGCATTTCAGGAAGAGTAGCTTCTTTTCACTCTACGGCTAACACAATATACTGAATAAAAAGATTCCCTCTCTCTCGCCGACCCAAAACCTGTCCTAAACAGTGACCCGCGACACCCCTACTTGAAATAATTATTCCTCGTTACTATAGTCATCGCCACTGGTCCAGACGAATGGCTAAGGGAGTTTTTACTTCAGACAAATGGGGATGTGTATTTTCGGAAAATAACATAGTTTAAAAATTTGCACATTAACTTTCGGGGGAATTTTTTTAAAATACAAAATATGCATTAAATTATTTCCATGATACTTAAATCTCTGATTTTATCTTACCGCATCTTCTTTCATCTCGCCCATCAGTACAATCTTTAATTCCATCACATTCCCATGCTTCTGGGATACAGTTCCAATCGTAATAACCATTTCCACATGCTATTCCCTTTCCATCTCTGCATGAACTAGTTCCTATAATGTGTGTTTATTTGGGAAAATCATTATTATTCTAAATACACACACAGATAAAACAAATATGCTTTTAAAGTGTATGACGAAACTCATACTTATGACATGATTTGTTATACTGTAACCCATAGTTATACCAGTCTGGTCAGAGGCACGACAACAAAAAGAAACATACAATTTGAATACGCGATATAAAGGAAGTTATAAGAAGGAGAAAATTCGCGTATTTGACCGAAATGCTATGAAATAAAGCATTTTTAGGAGGAATAACCTAAAAATACAATTAATCATATTTTAACAACATTGATGTACAGTCCGCAAAAAAAAAAAANCCGAAAAAAATAACATATCACCCTGAATAACTTTCGTTCTAATGATCGGATTTTCACGAACTAAGTGTCANATGCTATGAAATAAAGCATTTTTTAGGAGGAATAACTTAAAAATACAATTAAACATATTTTAACAACATTGATGTACCTAATAAAAATGATAATACAGCCTCAAAAGAAATTTCAAATTAGATAAAGATTATATACTTAATCATGTATTCAATATAATTGAGTATGAATTTTAATTAAATGATATTTATTTACATATTAAAAAATTTGCATTAGGAGGCATCAAATGTCGAGTAACGAAATTTATTTTTAAAAACTTACTGCAGTACCATTCGTCGGAGTTATCTCCACAATCATCTCTACCATTGCAAAAGTCCCCTCTCTCTACACATTTATCATTCTGGCATCTAAATTGATAATACGAGCAAGGTCCAATTTTGTTCTTGAAGAGTCTTGTTCTAATATTTTCTAGAATTAAAAATATTTAGTTATTTAAAAGGCTTACTATGACATATATACACCGAAGAGCCATTACATTATGACCAACCACCATCTATAACAATGGGCTCGTCCAGGTTTTCATTGTTTCTCGCCCAGGAACAATGTTTTCATGGGGCACATTAAGACGCATAATCCTCATGGAACAATACCTGACGTCTGTAAGCTACTTGAACATAGTTGCAGACCAGGTTCACCCATCCATGGCAACAGTTTTTCCTGCGGGGGATGGTGTTTACCAACAGGATAATGCACCATGTCATAAGGGTCGAATCGTCATGGATTGGTTCGAGGAACATTCCAGTGACTTTCAAGTCATGTCTTGGCCCCCAAATTCACCTGACCTTAATCCAATAGAGCATTTGTGGTCCTACTTGGAAAACCAAATTCGTGCTGCCACGCTACCCCCTCGCAATGTGAGGGAATTGCAGGACCAGTTGGTGAGGTGAGCGCTTGGTACCAGATGCCTCAGACTACCTATCAGCACCTTGTGGAATCAATGCCACGGCGGGTGTTAGCACTTTTGAGGGCTAAAGGTGGTCCTATATGTTATTAGCAGGGTGGTCATAATGTAATGGCTCTTCGGTGTATATAAGCCTCAAGGTTTGTATATGAGCTTTCTTATTCTGAGTTAGGCTAGAGTACTACAAACTGCTACGAAATTAGATCGTTCGGTTATTGTGAGATGGTTCATTTCAGCATCAAAATGTATAATTCTTCAATTTGTTTGTTTCAATCATATCAGAAGTGATATTGAGTATAGACATTTGATGACAAAGACAATGCACGCAAAATGAACCCAAACTTACCTAATAAATATTTCGAAAAAGGGATCTAAGCAATGTAAAATCGTACAGGCCTTATACTCGTACTGCTCTCAGTATATCCTTTTAGAATCCTTGCTAAAAATGAAATCAAAAATAGTATGGGGAAGGTGGGATGAAAAATATCAAAGCAAGCTTGATGCTCTCAGGAAGCAAGCGGTTAGTAAGAGACATGCTACAGGTAGATTGCATTACCATGCGCACATCACCTCTGCGTATCCTAAATAGAGGAATTCGCCATTTGTATGCCATATTCTTACCGCTTGCTTCCTCAGAGTGTGTCAGACCTTGCGTTTCTAAAAAAAAATCATTTTCTACTACCAACGTCATTTTGCAATACGCGAAGCAAATTGGTAAAGTCCCCAGAATTTTGAAATCTATGATTTTCAGGCTATTTAAAATTCAGCACATATAGCTTTAGGGTCCATAAAAAGTGTACGAATTGGTTTAAATCAGTTTAAATTTGCTTAAGCTTAATGAAATGAGCATTGTATTATTCCGGGGATTCGACTGCAAAGTATAGTGAGACTGGATAATTTAGGATTAAATGATTTATTTTTTTAATTAGTCTAAAAAAATTTTCATGGGTGCATGGCCTGAAATAAATAAGGTTGAATGATCAATGAAAGTCAAATTTTTTATTACCTTAGAAGTATCTGGTATCATTGCATCAAATCTAAAACGTTTTATGATTATTTTATAATTATCGTGGAGCAGCAGGCCCAATTTTGAGTTAACGCCCACTAATGTTCAACTCCGTAACCTTGAAATTTCGAACTCAATCTAGAAGACAAGGGAACTCCTAGATCAAGTATTGGGAGAAATATGTCTTCGCTGAGGACTTTTTGAAGGAAGTTAGCTGCATTTGTATTACACGGAGAGGGAAACCAGGAAAACCTCCTACGGTTAGTCTGACAGCAAGGGGACTCTAACTCATGATCCATCTACCACTGAGGATAGATTACGTTAGTACTGTTTTCTTTGCGAGCTGGGTGCGGAATTCCTATCAATCAGAAATCGCTGGAATTCGAACCTTGGTCATCTCAATGGAAGGCAAACGCTCTATCTCCTGCGCCACCACGGCTCTTGTTGTGATGATTTGAAATGTTCCAATCAACCTGGAGCAATACAAAATGTCTGCACCAGTTTACAAAGGAGATAGATTTTACGATTAACCTATGACATTTTAATCCTTGAAATATTTATTATTTATTGTAATTGCTGATGCATCAGTTATCTGAGTATTAGGTAAATTATAAAGCAACTTTGCCACTACTTATCACAAAGCACTGTGCTTTATCATGTATTTTTGGATCATCGTGGATGGATCATAACATTGATGAATTTATTTATATCATGGATTTAGATTCATCATGGCAATATTTTTTAGAGGAGGAACAAAGAAAACATTTTTAATATAACGTAAGCGGAGTATTTACCTTAAAACTGAAACTGGGTCTACTTTTATTATTTTATGAGCTAAAGTAACTTTTATCAACGCTATAGCAATTTTCAATCCACATTAAATATTACTAACTAAAGTCTATCAACCTAAAAAAATGTGTTTGAATCTACTTGCTTTATAAGATGAAAGATTGTAAGATCATTTTAAGATTTATACACATCACTTCTTCAGATTAACTTCATCCCTTTTTAGAAATTTAGAATCCCTTTTTTAATGTGATATAAATGCTTATTACTTATAGAAGAAACGTCATACTTCTTATAATTAAGCTATACAATTTCCGTAACTCCCTTCTTCAATTGTAATAGAAAATATATTTTATAAAATGGGAAATACACTAACCTGGCTTTACACCTGGAATTTGCGAGGAGCTGTCGCAGCTTATGATGGTCAAAATAGAAAATAAATTGAGGAACAGAAATATAATAGACATTTTGCCTGTAATTTTATGTGGCAACATTTTAAATCAATTGATCGTTAAAAAGAGTTACAGAAAAGTATTTCCGTTCCTCGTTAATCATGCAAATCTAACGATTACATATCTGATGCGTGAGGTCAATCTAAAATAAATAATTATTTTTAAGAGACTATGCAAATTCTGATAACTATTTCGTTCAAGTATGTGCTATCGGATATTGTTTTGAGTCAGCTAAAAATAAGAAATGAATGTGAATAGAATCTATTTTGTTATTTAAAGCTGAGTAGTTACATTTAAATATTAAAATGTAACCTTGATAACTTAAAATACCATTTGTTTTATGGATTTTCGAATGCCATGAGATTTTTTTAATTTCAGTATGCAAGGTTTTAGACCAAAACTGAAAGTTTGAAAAACTTGGAATGATTAATTCCAAATTCAATTTTTTTTTTATTACTTCACTATTTGTCAATTTTCGTATTGGTGGGGTATATAAGGTAGTACTGAAAGGACGAAACGTGATATACTAATTTTGGTTCCTGCAGTTTGTACGTGATCTCAATCCAGAAATTATAGTTCTTTTTAAAATTAAATAAAAGACATAAAGCAACAAAAAAACTGGTCATTTTATAATTAGCGATAACTTTTCCTAAAATATTTTAATTTTGGCACAACTAAGGCGTTTTTAACGGTGTTTTTAAAAAATACACACCTCTCATAAATCGATGCTTTATTTATTCATCCTGTGTTAAGGTAAATATGCAGTCTTTCTAAGTTCTTTTTATGAATAAATAATTTAATCCTTGCTTATATGAATCATAATAAATTGAGTTCAATTTTTTAAAAGCGTAAGCCTTATTTAACTCTGCATCTTTCTTTAGAAGAAAGGGGCTGCATGGACACTTGGAATACATACCAAAATATCACTGCTGCTTTTTGTGTATTGGCTGATAGTCCAATACCCAAAACTGAAAAAATGCATGTTGAAATCATTGGAAAGGCTTATAGTTTTGCTATGTGACTTTACTAGCAGTGATAAATGTGTCAATAATGCAAGAGAACATGTAAAAATGATAAGGTATACTAAGTGCTACGTAAACTAAAAAGTTGAATTAAGCAAATAATTAACTATAGAAGTGGGTATACCATAGTTTCGGTTGTCTGTACAAGAACCTTCCTCAGAAGAAGGGTTTCTTTAAATTAAGATTAAGAGTTAAATTTTTCTTTACAATTTTTTAAAAAAAATTATGATTTGCATACTGTATATTAGCGTCTTTCAAAACTTTGTAAGTTTGCTAAAAACGAAAGAATTATTTCAATATACATTTTCGAAATCTGGAAAATAATAACGTATTTCGACGAATTTTAGGAAGAACTAAAAAAAAAAACACTAGATTTAGGATATTTTTATAAATAATGCAAGTAAGATCATAGATTAAATCAAAACTTTTATTAATGTCTTGTAATAAACCATCAGTAAATATTTTTAATATTTAAGAAATTGAAGTTAAAATAAATAAAAAAAATTCATTCCTAATTATGAAATCAAAAGAAAATCAATCAAAATACACCAATTTTTCAACAAATAGTCTCAAAATTATTTGAGATAAATTATTGCTTAGTATCTATCATTTAAATATGCTTCAGAAAGGGTCAATTCGGCATCCTTCGACCGGTGCAACATTTCGGCCATTTGTAGGGGTAGAGGAAGGTGTTTTGCATTTGTTTCCACAATTTTCTCTGCAGCATAATTCGCCTCTGGGACAATCATCATTTGAACAGCAGCGGTTGATTGATCTAATACAAACAATGGTCTCTCTTGTTGGGCAATGACCTGCAAATGAATAGACGAATTTTGAATGGGAATAAGAAACTCAACACTCTCAGGGATCACTGGAGGGAGCTATAGTGATATAGTTTAATTACGAGGTTATCTGATCTAGCGGTCGATTAGGGGATGATGAATGAATACTCATGCCATTCAATTGCAGATTAAATGACTGAAAATTTGTATATGTGGCGTAACTACCACTACAAATATTAAATACCAATTCACTAGTATATAAGACAGGTTAACTTGATTTTAACTTAAGGTACCTATAGATAGAAGAAGGTTGACATAGTCGATAATTACATCCCATTAATGATGACCTCCGGCCGGACGTGATATGTACTCGCCAACACCGATGAATGGTTCACGTTAAATGGTTGATTTGGTCATAAATTAGTGCTTAAAAATCCGGTTAAGTAAATACAAATCTCCCGACCAAAAAATAAGAAAAATAATGAGTGTTAAAATGAAATAATTAAATATACAGCATAATTAAATAATTCAACTAGTAGCATACCTTCATCGAATTCAATCAAAGATTAAATTCTAGAAAGGGAATAGTGTGGCGATATACATACAAATATAAAATATCAATTTACTGGTATATAAGACACGTTAACCTAATTTAATATTGAGGTACCTTTTGATAGATGAAGTTTGACATAGTCGTTCACTAAATCCCCTTATATACACGCTCGGAATGCCATTTGTAGTTACAATACGTGTTATTTGCTTTCTTATTCCAGCATATTTTTTCAATTATTATCTTTTCTTTACCAATAATTATTTAAAAAAAAAAAAATTGAAGGTGGAGCTCCGTGGTGGATGAAGATTAAAACTAACTAATTTCGAAATAAAGTTGTTAATCTAGCCAAGTGTCATAAAGCATATCCTTTTCATTAAATTATGTAAAATTTTGATTTTGTCAAAATGAAATAAATCATTTAAGAAACGGGGAACTTTTCCCCCCCTCCTTTTTATTTATTGTTATTGAAGGGATAAGATAATTATAGAATGTTCGGAAGTCGATGATCAAAGACGTCTGACATAACTTTTGCTCACGTTACTCGTTCACTTTCCAAAACAATAATTGACATAAATAATTGATATAATATTAATATATATTTTAAGTAATAAACACATGGTGTTACATAATCGCCACTTTTCATATGCATTTTTTAAATCCTTGACACAATTGAAGTGTAACAAATATACACAATAGATGACATATGTAAACGCTTGACGAAACAAAAATGGTATCAAAATGTGTGGAATCACCAGTGGGGAAGGTGAGACAAAATAAATTTGAAAACGGTTGGATTGTCTGATGATGCTTGAGGTATCTCTAAGAATTGCTTTTTCAATTGCGTTCAACTTCTTCGGTGACCAAGGGATTTTGATGTTTACAGTTCCGATCAATAGTGATTAGTTAGATTTTTGTGGTATTTAATTTTTCTTCACTTCAATACTAATTTGATACTCCAAATGAGTTGACTTTTGTTATTTTATTTTCGACAAGGATTTTAAAAACACATACTAAACGCAGTCATTTCGGAACACTATTTCCGTAGTACTTAGTTCGAAATAACGATCCAGAGTTTCAACCCTTGTTATTTTTTAATCCCATATTTTTCTTCGTAAGTGCAGGACTAATTAAACAAATCAAAAACGTCTAGACTTTACTGTATTCGCTTACCCAAAGATGAAAATAAATTTATTTGCAAAATATAGTATAGGCATACATCTCTTATTTTTTTTTTATTGATTAATTTTGAAAATGATCCGGATATATTTAAATGGTATATAAATACTTACATCATTTTAAACAACTTAATTTTGTATAACGAAAATATCCAAAATTTAAACTAAAAAGACTCAAATGTCTTCGAGAAAGGAAAATTCGACCGGTAACATCCCTTCAGCTTTTAATCGAGTTTTAAATTATGTCAATAAAAAATACGTTGAAGAAAATTGGCTTCAGCTGTGGTAAACTTAACGTTACCTTTTCCCCAGACCGCATGACGGATACCGGGTAGCGACTTTACACATTGTCGACTCCCGGGCACCTCCACTCGCCGCGGTTTTATTTGTCAACTGTTTCACCGCCTTATCTAGTAACCCTCACTCAGAGGCAACCCTACGCTCGCCTCAATACAGCACTCGCAAAAGTCATAAACGAATCTTCGCGCTCATGGATATTTTTAAAAGTTGCTTGTTGAATTAAGTTAAAATTTTATCCTCGTTTAAGACTAGAAAAATTCAAATAACGAGAACAAAATACTTCGTCCTTCTTTAAAGAAAGAGGAAGAAAAATTTACATACACACAATTATTTCAGTTAATTACATACATATTTCGATTAAAAAAATTTCAAAATAGAAACTATTCTTGTAAATTAAATAAAAATCTGGAGTAATAAAATAGTCAATTATTC